GGTAAATATTCCTCAATTTCTATCATGTTTTCCGACTTCGCACGATATACAACACTAGAACAGTTTCAACCTTCGTGGTAAACAATGTAAAAATTTATGAAATTGGGAGAAAAGTAATTACCTAATGCATAAAACGATGTAACTTCAACTTAAATACTAAGCTCAACACAAATAGTTTTTTTCTTTTTTTTACTCCTTGTTAGAACTCTTTCATTTATTTAGGTAAAAATACAAAATACACTCTCTTTTAACTAACATGCCCTATACACCATTAATTCAAATTTACTACTCCAAATTAGTTAGATAACATTAAAATAGCTTGATTAAAAGTAAAATCTTAAATATAAGAACTAAAACCTGGACAAATTGAAAGTAATATCTTCTTTCTTCTCCTCTATTGTTCATTTTTCTTTTGGCATTTTTTTTTTAAATAAATTGAACCTAAAAGTAAGTGCTAATTTAGTCAAAGGCGCCGTTTGATAAACAAAAATAAAACTAAATAAACCTTCACCTCAGACCTAGGGGAATTTCACCATGATTTTGAAAATCGGACCGGACTGGCTGGTTCGACCAGCTCAATTAGGAACCAACCTTCATACCGGTCATGTTCAATGACTGGAGCCATTGACATCCAAAACCGAGAGATAACTATGTGAACCGGTGGAAACTCGGTGAACCAGTAAATTGAAACAAGTTTGAATGGGTCAGAGGTTCGTATAAATGGCCTCGTTTGGTGTCTTTCTCTAGATACTGAAATGATTTTGCAGATATAGAATGCGAAAATAAAAAAACTGAAAAAACAAAAATCAACCGCTCAATTATTCCCCAAGAAAGAATATGCTAAAAACCGTCATCTCCATTGTTGCTAAATTCTCTTCCTCCAACAACCAATGATAGAGTGAGCGTCTTGTAACTCTGGTCCAAGATCTAGGGTGTCGGCTTGAAGTTTCTCTTCCTTCTCCTAATTCTGAGTCGACCTAGCTTGTTGCCTGAAACACCAAAAAAGACATTAGGGATACTTCCGACGTAAAGACTTTGACAATCAAATTAGTAATATGATACGAAAAGGCCTCACTATTGGTAAAAATGGATTATTGTAATGAATGGTAATAATAATTCTGACTTTACTTGATACGAAACCTTTACCTATATATATAGAAGAAATAACTTGTTGTCTAAGAGTATTATTAGAATATTAAACCGGCTTTTAGCCTTCTTTTTTGTAAAACACGTTTTTAGATTTATTATAGCATTTCAGTAGTATTTTTACACCTTCATTAGGTTTAGTATAAATAGTCAAAACCCTAATTTGTACAACACACTTTTTCATTGTACCTGCAATACAATTTCTATCTTTTTTTTTTTTGCCTTTCTCTCCCGCACGCTCTCTCTTACTGCAATTGTGTTCTTCACAAATCGGTGGAATGCTGACTTTATCATGGTATTGATCGCTTGTAATTATGATCCTATTACCTTTCCCGCTGCAATCTATACACAATTTCTCTGAAATTGATCATCCCTATAATTTTTCTCTCTCTGATTGTTCAATCAAAAAACCCTAGATTTACATGTCCTGATTCTATCTAGAACCAATCCTTGTGAATCTGTACTAGATACTTGTAGACACGCCTTCAATCTTTGGGTAATTGATTTTAATTGTTGTTTGTTGAACCTGTTCGATTCTATTCGACAGCCTTCCATCTCGATGGCTAATCCGACCGACGATCCTATGTCACTATACTTTGTATATGCTAGTGACAATCCAGGTGCGTTTATTGTGGTCGAACTCCTCAATGGTGAGAACTATGTCTCATGGTCTCATGACGTATCTATCGCCTTAAGTGTTAAAAATAAACTTGGATTCATTGACGGTACTCTCTCTGTACCTAATCCTTCTTAGAGTCCTACTGAATCTCATGCCTGGATACGTGCTAATACCCTTATTTTCTCATGGTTTTTAAACTATACCAGTAAGAAAATTACACAATCTTTGCTTTTCTTTCTGTTGCTCAAGATGTTAGGGCTGAGAATAAGTCTTGATAGGCTTTGTCTTGTTGTCCTCGTGTGTTTCAACTTGAAAATTTTTTGATTTCCATGGATGAGAGTTCCTAAACCATTACTCAATACTACAATTCTTTCAAAGCCTTATGGGATGAGTACATAACTTATAGACCAATATTTCGTTGTCACTATGTTTCTTTTAATACATGCACTTGTAATATCTTTGATGCTATGTTTGTTGCTCAACAGAATGATTCTGTCATGAAGTTTTTAATGGGCTTGAATGATTTTTACTTTTCACTAAGAAGCCATTTCAAGTTGTCTTCTTCACTACCATCTCTGTCTAAGGTTTACTCCTTATTATTGCAAGAAGAAAGTCAAAGAAACCTTACTACTTCATCAAAATCCTTTGATTCCATTACCATGGCTTCTAAATCTAATACTAAGTCTTCTTTTAAATATACTAAACCTCCTGACAAAAACAAAACAAAATGCATACATTGTGGCTATAATCATCCTTTTGAAAATTGCTAGCAAGTGATAAAATATCCTCCTCATTGGAAGTGCCCTAGGGGTCTTAGAATTCACCCTAATCACAACACTGCAACTCTTGTTAATGTTTCCTCTGATAATCCTATCAATAGTTCCCTTGTTGTTGCATCTGCTACTATAACCTTAGAACATTCAGGTACATTGATTAAACAATCTCTAATTAATGAGTATACTTGGATACTAAACACTGGTGCATCTGATCATATGGTGTCTTATTATTATGTGTTCACTCATTTTCCATACCTGTCTGCATAAATGTTAACTTACCTTATGGACAAACTACTTGTGCAAGTCATGTAGGATAGATTAATCTGGGGCCTAATCCTGTACTGAACAATGTCTTGTTTGTTCCATCTTTTATCTTCAATCTATTTTCTGTTACCAAATTAATTAAAACCAACAATTCTCTAGTAAGTTTCTTTCCTTGTTACTGCACTCTGCAGGAGCTTAACAACAAACCAATGATTGGTTTTGCTGAAACTGGGGATGGGCTTTACCATCTGAAACTTGATCATAACATCTGTAAATCTTTTTGTAATTCTTCTATTTCTACTTCTGATGTACTGTTTGGCACAACAGACTTGGGCATCTTTCTTTTCAAAAACTTGTTTAGCTTTATGTTTCTATAAATAAAAATGTCTCTATAGTTCATAAACCTTGTGACATTTGCCATTATTTTAGACAAATGGCTTTACCTTATTCTCTGAGTAACTCTATAGCATCTTCACCTTTTCTATTTGGTCACTGTGATATGTGGGGATCTTTGTCAAGGAAAATGCTCACCTACCCACGGTGGCCACATGTTAATATGTCCACCGCTGATTGGCATACACACATTGGTGATGTATTTTTTTTTTACTATATAACATCACCAATGTGTGCATGCCACATCAACGGTGGACATATTAACATGTGGCCACCGTGGGTAGGTGAGCATTTCCGTCTTTCTCAATCCCTTCTTATGCTGGTCATAAGTATTTTCTTACTATTTTAGATGATTTTAGTAAAACTACTTAGATATATCCTCTACTAACTAAATGAGACACTGCACATCATTTAATTCAGTTTTTAAACATGGTAAACACTCAGCTTGCTAAGACCATTTAGTGTATTAGAACTGACAATGGAACTGAATTTTTTATGATTTTTTTTTTTTTTTTTTCCTACTTGCATTATTTACCAAACTAGTTTTGTTGGAAACCCTCAACAAAATGGTAAAGTTGAATGAAAACATCAACAGTTTTTACAAGTTGCGAGAGCTGTTATGTTCCATGCACATCTTCCTTTACAATATTGGATGGATTGTGTTTTATCTGTTGTTCATATCATAAACAGAGTACCTTCTTGTGTCTTGCATAATAAAACTCCTTATGAATTACTTTATAATAAACTACCTGCTTATGGTCACCTAAAAACCATTGGTTGCTTGTCTTATGCATCTATTTTGCGCTCTCCTAGATCTAAATTTAATCATAGAGCTTTAAAACACATCTTACTTGGATATCCATTCGGTTGTAAAGGGTATAAACTTTAAACTTGAATGCCAAAAATATATTAATTTCCAATAATGTGGCCTTATGTAATTTTTCTTTTTTCTTTTAAACACCCTGAAAATCTATCAAACAATCCCTCTCTGTTTGCTCCACCTCAACCATTTCAATTTGATACATCTAACCATAGACAACACAATATAACTCATACCTATGTTGTGCCTTCTTCACAGCCTACTACTAATCCACCTCAAACTACATTATCCAATCCAATTCAATCTTCCACACAACAAATAAATACATCAAACCAAAATTCTATAAGCCTTAGAAGATCAACCAGAATCAGAAATCCTCCCTCTTGTTTATATATATACAAACACCCTTAATCTCCCATCCTGGGTGTTTCTTCGTTTAAAAAAAATAACCAGCAACACGGCACAAGTTAACTCACAGGCTATGTATTCATAATTATACAAAAAAACCAAAAAACCACATGGATAACAGACTTATTGTACATTAATTACAGAGTATGGTGAAAATGTGCAAATCCAAAACGTACAAACAATTACAAAACTAATAAAACCTCGAGACGTTTTATTGCCTCGTGTAAACAAAGCAGATCAAAAAATAAAACAAAATCAAACTTAATCTAACTCAAAAAATAAAAAAGGCACTCAATTTTCCAGTGCCATTTCAACCCTGGTGGACCCCACCCACCCACCTATCCTGCCCCAAAACTTTCGGCATATTCAACTCTCGCCCCAGCGGTCAACGTCAGCACCCCCTCCGACCACCTAAACCGGCGGGCGCGCGTCCCGATCCGGCGAGAACAGGCCGGCCTCGTCCGCGGCCTTCGGCTCCAGGCACTTGAACGACGGCATCTTCATCGGCGCCCGGCTCCCACCGCCGCCGCTTCCCTCGCCGGCCTCCGCCACAACCTTCGGCGACTTCATCGACAGCCCCCTCGAGAAGAATAGCCACCGGTCGGACCTCACCCCCTCCCTCTCGATCCTCCGGTACGACCTCCCCCGGTTCGACCGCGAGCTCCCTCCCCGCGGCAGGCCAGCCGGCGCCACGCAGCTCCCGGTCCGGTTCAGCAGGGACCGGTCCATAACCTCCCTCCTCACCTGCTCCGGTAGCCTCAGAGTGAACCGCTCCAGGTTCTCCCCCGGCTGGACCACCCCGGCCGGCACCGAGTGGCCGGTCGAGTGCGACCGGAACCTCCCCAGCCCGAACACCATTTTCGCCCTCGCCAGGCTCGCGCTCCGGCCGGGCCGGCGGGCCTCGTCGTCCACCTGGACTGTGATCTGGGGGTTTTCGGCCGGCGGGGGTGCGGGTGTCGTCGATGAGGGGAGCTGATTATCATCGCCGTCGTCGTCGTCGGCAGCGGCGGCGGAGGGGGGGTCCGGCGTGAGGTCGGCCCGGCAGACGGGGCAGGTGACGTGGGAGGCGAGCCAGGCGTCGATGCAGTCCTGGTGGAAAACGTGGTCGCAGGTGGGGATGAGGCGGAGGGCCTCGTCGGGCTCGAACTCGTTGAGACAGATGGCGCACTCGAGAGCGCCCTTGCCGATCTTGTGGTCCCGGACCTCCGAGTAGGTGAAGGTCGGGAGGGACTCGAGGGCGGAGGGATCGAGGCCGCGGGCGGCGGCGGCGGCGGCGCGGCGGGAGAGGGCGCGGCGGATGCTGCCGACGGGGCCGCGGGAGGAGGAGTCGGAGCAGTGGCGGATGTAGATGGAGAAGAAGCCCATGAAGAAGAGGGCGGCGATTAGGACGACGATGATGATGGCCATGGAAGGGCTGAACCGGGCGTAGGGGTACTGGTTGTTGTTGTTGCTGCTGTTGTTGTTCGGGCCGGGTTGGGCCGCCGCCATGGTCACCAGCACCGACAGCAGGAAGGCGATCCGCTTCATTTTAACAAGAAAGTACTATGATTTGGATTTACAGTAGGACGCTAAATTTGCTGTGGCGGCGGCGTATTAAACGGAGTTGGGTAGAGAGAGGGATTTGAGAGAAAAATTGAGATTAATCTTGAAAAAGGGACAGAGAAAGAGAGTATAATTTGGAGATGTCGTGATTTCCAAGTAGAATATCAATTTTGACTTTTTTGGGCTCTCAATGAAATTTCCATTCCCATCTATATATATATATATAATAAGAATTAATATTTATCATAAATAGTAATAAGGAAAAGTCAACTCACATTTATTATATACTATTTTTAGCAACTTTTTTTATTTTACATTTTAATTTTAATTCATTATCCAAAAATTGGATGATTCCTAAATTAATGGGTTTTAGATGACGTATCCTGTTTCAAAAATTATAAATCATTTAAAATCGAATGATTTCTAAATTAATGGTTACAAACTTTTCAAAGTTGTAATCTTTATGACATCTTTTCTTTTTGACTTTCAATAATAAAATCATTTTAAATAAAAAAAATTTATGATTCATATGTCTACACCAAATGATAATATATTAAGATTATAAATTATATATCTAAAGATGAATTATTTATTTTTATTTTATGCCCAATCAATGATAGTATATATCTAATATATATATACCCAATCAATTAATCTTAATTTTTTTTTTAAATTATTATGTTTATTTTTTATTAATATGCATAAAATAAAAATAAATAATTCATATTTAGATATATAATTTATAATCTTAATATACTATCATTTGGTGTAGACATATGAATCATAATTTTTTTTTATTTCATAAAATTAAATATTATATTTAAAGAAAATAATGAAATTACTTTTGGATCAATCGGGTGATTGAATTAGGGTATTGCCCACGTTGATTGAATTACTTTTAAGTGATATTTAAAATAGTCAAAAAACTTGACATAACTTGGCTAGTCCCAGGTAACTAAGTTATGTATCAGTTTGACCAGTCCAAATCGATTATTGAACCTAAATATAAATTTTAATATTGAAAATACTTTATTATGTAGTTCAAACTTCAAATAATCATATTAACAATACTTTTACGACAACATGATTAATAATTTATGAATATTTATATATCATTTTCTTATTATTTATGTGAACAAAATAATTATTTTATTATCATTTTTATTAATGTACGGTAAATATAAGGTTTTCAGAACCATAACGTCATCGAAACGATCAAGTTATTTTATTAAATCATTTGTGGTTGTTCAAATTTTAATACATAATACTTTAATATATATATATATATAGTACTTTTTGTAATAAAATTTAAATAAAAAGTGTTACTTAAATATCTAAACAATTTATAAATTCAAATGTTTAATCTAATTGATAAACAATTTATAAATCTCTATTTTATTTAAATATGTAATTTTATTTAAAATAATTTTTAATGTAACAAAATTTGTTTAGAAAATCGTATCGATCCTACCAGTCCAACATACTGATGTTGACGGATTCGATAGCATATATTTTATTCAAGCGCAATATACTGGTTATAAACCTGTTCTCGGTCCATCCGGTCGGACTGTGTCCAATCCGGTTTAATTTAAAAATAATGAATAAATCATGATTAATGTTATTTATTTATTTAATTTATAATACAATCAAAATATTGTTTTCCCGTGCATCGAACGGGCCACGCACTAGTTATATTCATAAATTTGATTTTAATTTGGAGTCTTTTGACAAAGTCGTTATCCCCCAACTTTGTTTTCTGACCATGGGGAAAGAAATCATTATTTTAAATTTTCTTTAGCAACTGTACGAATTATTACTAGTAATTAATTAGTAATATGGAGAATATGGTCAGAAACGGACGTGTGTGGTGGCTGACCTGCCACGTGGCATACCTAATTTCAGTTGCAAAATAACGTGGCGTAATTGATTAATTAGACCTAGCTACTTGGTGGTGGTGAGGTCTCAGTATTCAGTATCACTGTATCAGTTTGTATTTATTATAATATAATCCTGTTTTATTTTTAATTTTATTACCCTTTTACTCGTTAACTCGCACTTGCATAGTCGCATTGGCACATTTTGAATTGGTTATGCGTTCAGATTATTGACCAGCGAGTAGTTGTTGAAAACTAGAAATGGTGGAAAAGTATTTTTTACGAGTTGTTTGTTTGTGGTGTGAAATTCTAGACTGAAAAATATTTTTCGGTTGTCTTATTTTCGCTCTCTTCTTCTATATTTCTATTGGATGATAATAGCGACGGCGTTTGACAAGAAGAAAAGTGGAGGTGATTGGAATTTTTCCATAAACGTGTCCAGAAGCATTGCATAACTAGAATTACGGAAAGTGAATGGTGTGGGAATGTACTTTTGTTAAAAGCATTTGCGTATAGCATAAAACTTAAAAGATGCTATAAAAGGTAAATAGAAAAATGAAATAACATTTAAGCATGTGTAATACCTTTTATTTATCCAATCATGAAAATTAAATCTGATCATCCAGTAAAAAATAAGCGGCATGTTTATATTCATAAAAGACAATTTGGCCATTAGAACATCTCCAATTGTGGAAGTGTATTGTACTCTGAAACGTAAGTATTTTATGATAAGTGCGCTCAACGTTGTTAGAACACAAATAAACAACTAGAATAGCGGAAACAATAAACCGAAGATTTAAAAACTCTTCAGGGAAGCGTCTCACTTCCCCTCATAGCTCTTTCATTGATAACTCAATTGTGCACATGCGTATAGTTTTGGAATTACAGTACATAGAACTCTCTTCTAGTCTAACCAACAACTATACTCGAATCTACCAACTACTTCTCCGGCCACGTCCCGTGGACTTTAACTCTCGAATCCCTCGAGCTAAAAACAGCACTTAATCCCTAAGTACTGATCACAAAAGTGTTTCAATGAAAAACAAAAGAATCAAAACAAAAGACTTCAGTTCTTCAATGTCGTAAGAACACTGAAAACTGAACAATGAAAATAAAACCTAAAAGGCTTGAAACTCAAATATTGAATGGAAGATAATGATTTCAGCAACCTTGATTCAATCTTCAAGTAGGGTATATATACAACTCCTTGGGCTTGGAGTCTTCTCCAAGTTCTTTCCTTCTTTCACGATCTCCTTTGATCTTCTTCCCAAAAATAGTGTAGTAACATGGAAAGTAAATCTTTCTTGATTGTATGTGATTTGGAGATCTTCATAATTGAGTTTTCAATGGAAATCTCGTGATTCCAGACTCGTGTAAGAACACAACTTTCCTAATATAGCTGATCTTCCAAATCTTTAAAGATCTTGTGGTGAATCTTTCCAAATCCTCCTTAGATCTTCTAGAGAACGTCCAGAATTCCTTATGCATGAATTGCTCATCCTTTAATAGTCCTTGTCACCTATTCCTTATCCTACAAGAGAGAGAAAACTAATTATGGCATAGAATCAAACTCATTAATGCATGTGACATATATTGTAAGTAAATATATAAGATATATATTATGTAATCCTTCTCCTAAAGGTTTAGGACTCCATAATAGACATTATAATAAATATATACCATATATTAGTAATAATAAATATTAAGAACTTAATTAATTAACAAATAAATAAATAGAAAACTTTCCTTTAATTTATTTTGCTTGTCTAACAAGAAAATCTTCTAGAAAACACTTAGGTTTTTCGGATGATGCCAAACCAATATTCTTACGTAGTCTATATGGAAATTAGATAGATGACCTTCTGTACACGTAGACAGAAGAGTGTTGCATTCATAAATAACTCTCCAATGGTAAATGTCTATACACATGTTTTTTTCTTTTGTTGTTCTACAAAAAGTCAAAATCCTTGCATGAAAAATGTTGAACAAATTTGAATGAACATAAATCACAATTTGCTACTACCCATCAACACCCAACTGATATTCATCAGGTATTTTTGTATAAGGTATTTTTCGAAGAACATCTTTACCTAATTAAATATTTTGATTATATATAAAAGAAATAAATATGACAAAAAAATGACTCATCAAGTCTACAACCCAACTGATATTCATCAGATATTTTTGTTTGATATATTTTTGTAACGGGTATTGTTAGCGTATTTACCTAATTATATATTTTAATTAAAAAAAAGTAAATAGGACAAAAAAATAACTCAGGTGATATTAATTAGGTATTTTTGTATCAGATGTTTTGTGGAGAACGACTTTACCTGGTTAGATATTTTAATGAAAGATAAAAGAAGTAAATAGGACAAAAAAAATATTCATCACGTCTAGAAGGACTTTCAGATGTAGAAAGACTTCTAGATGTTTGTGTCTCTCTCATGCCACATCATCACATGTGGAAGTAAAAAAACTCACCGTTGGAGACTTTTTTTGGCTCAATTCCTCTACAATTGATAAACCATTGGAGATACTATTACACAAATTAGACGCTTTCAAAAAAAAGAGCTTACCTCGACCGATAGGAAGAAGGCGCGATGATAATTGCCCTTAAGTTAAGATGTGAGCCTTACCTCATCCTCCTATCATTCTCACATATCTTCAACATGCAATTTGAATTGTAGAAGTATAGCGTTCTTCTTCTTCACCTCGTTCTGGCCCCACACCCTATTTCACCACCCTACACTATCTCACGTACACAAACATGCACACACACACAAAACACCGCCACCTTCGGTCTTGTCGCCGCGACCGCCGGCAAATTTCTCCAATTTTTTCCTCTCGATATGAGCCCTCTAAACTCTTTTTTCTAATAGCATGAAGAAGAGGGTGAAT